AGGGCGCCCTGTCAACACTTGCGCTCGACTGGCAACGTGTTCGATCGATCAGCGGATCGGCGAAGACTCGGCCCCAATGGGGCCGCCCTCGATCGGTCGATCGCACGTCCGATGCCGAATCGAGCGGCCCCGCTCGATAGTGCGATCGTGGGGCCGGCGGCGACGCGATCGCAGGATCGATCGATCCATCGATGCTGTGATGGGAGGATGGCTTGGAGGAGGGGGGGGATGCTGGACCACGGGGAAGGAGGAGGATGAAGAAGGATCATGGGGGAGGAGGCGGAGGAGGATGAGGAGGATCGAGGATCGAGTAAGATGAGGCTTGATGGATCCCTCGAGGCGAGTAGGGAGATATGAATATCCTCACATGGGTTCCGCATCGACGCGGGTCGAGGAGGGGTCGAGGGGGAGGAAGACAATGAGGAAAAGGATGAGAAACTCGATGGGGGTGACGATCGAGGAGGAGCCTCGAGGGGGGCCATCGAGGAGGCCACGGGGATGATCGAGGACGAGCTCGAGGAGGACGAGAGTAGGAGGGTGAGGGGGGTGCGACGAGGAGGGCGGCGAGGACGAGGAGGCGAGTGACGATGCTGCGGAGGAGGGGGGGAATGGGGGGGGGAGGAGGAGGGGGATCGAGGATGAGGAGGAGGATCGAGGGGGGTGAGGGCTTTGCTTCAAGTTTGCGTCGATGCGGAAGAGGCGGCGGATCAGGAGCAGGAGGAGGCGGCGGATCCAGAGCAGGATCTGATCGTAGACGATCAGATCCTCGGAGACGGGGAGAAAGATGAGGAGGGTAGGTTCCGCATCGATGTCGATCGCGTTCTAATCATGATCTTAAGATGTGGGAGGGTGTGAGAGGGATGGGGGAGGATCGAGGAACGAGGATCAGGAGGATCAGGAGGGCGCGGGAAGGACAAGGAAGGGTAAAGAGTGGAGGGTCGAGGACGAGGAGTGGGAGGCAATGAGGAGGGGAGGGCGGGGATCGATCATGAGGGGGAGGAGGAGGAGGGGGAGGGGGGAGGAGGAGGAGGAGGAGGAGGAGGCGGAGGACGAGGCGGAGGAGGATCCTCGAGGAGGAGGAGGATGAGGCCCGATCGCGAGGGAGTGCGACTGATCGACCGAAGGAGGATCGAGGGTGGTGGGGTGCAGGATGAGGATCGAGGATCCTCGATCCTCGATCCCACAGCTTCCGCATCGAGTCCTTTTCGAGAAGGGGGGCATCGCGACCGATCGATCTCGATCGAGAGCTCTGGACCGAGATCGACCATTATAATGGTCGATCTCGAGCCCAGGATTATAATCCAATGGGGGGGGGGGGGGGGGGGGGGCCGAGGGGAAGAGGCCCGAGCAGGGGACCCCCCTCGATCTTCGATCGCCGACGGGGGGCAGGGGGAGGATCGAGGGACAGGAGAGGGTCGGCCCAGGGATCGATCCATCGCGACCAAGTGATCGAAGTGCAGTTGTTTCCCAGAGGAACCAACAGCCCTTCGCCGACCGATCGATCGCGGATCCGATCGCAGGATCGATCGCATCATCCTGCAGATCGACGGCCAGGGCGGGGGGGGAGAGAGTTGCCCGCCCAGGTGCACCTGGGCAGCGAGGCGATCAGTTGGCGACCCCTGTGCACGGGGGCGCACGTGCACCGCTGCGCAATCGATCGCTGCAATGATGCGCAGCATTTTGGGGGGGGTCGAGCAGGGCGGTCGTCGCCCCGTGCGCGGGGCGACGGCCGCCCCGTGCAGCTGCGCCCATGGGCGCAGCTGCGCGCGGGCGCGCGTGGGGTGAATGGGCGTGCGCGCGCGGGGGTCGGCGGGGCCCCTCGCCGGCGGGTTGGGGCGTGTCCGTGGACGGGGGCGCGGGTTGAAGGTGGGGGCGGGCGCAGCTGCGCGGGCGGGCTGGCGGGTTGCGCGAGCGATCGTGGGTTGGGCGGGCGCGGGCCATCGAAGGGGGAGGGGGTGGGGTCGGGCCACTCGCATGCGGTGGCGAAAACGCAGCGGCGGCGCTGCGGGGAGGCCGCGTCGGGTTTTGGCGGCGGGCACCATGCGCGATTGCGCGTTGCTGTCTTTTGGTGCGTTGCGATGCTTGTCTAATGTCTTTACTGTCTTTAATGCCGTTGTAATGTCTTTAATGTCGTTTAATGTCTTCCAATGTCGTTTCAATGTCGTTTCAATGTCTTTAATGTCTTTAATGTCGTTAATGTCGTTCAATGTCGTTCAATGTCGTTTCAATGTCGTTGTAATGTCTTTAATGTCTTTAATGTCGTTTAATGTCCTTGATGCCGTTAATGTCGTTCAATGTCTTTCAATGTCGTTTCAATGTCGTTGTAATGGTTTTAATATGGCTAATGTCGTTGAATGGCTTTAATGTCGTTAATGTCGTTTAATGTCGTTCAATGTCGTTTCAATGTCGTTGTAATGTCTTTAATGTCGTTTAATGTCTTCAATGTCGTTAATGTCGTTTAATGTATTTCAATGTCGTTTCAATGTCGTTGTAATGTTTTTAATGTCGTTTAATGTCTTTAATGTCGTTAATGTCGTTAATGTCGTTTGATGTCGTTCAATGTTGTTTCAATGTCGTTGTAATGTCTTCAATGTCTTTAATGTCGTTTAATGTCTTTAATGTCGCCTTTTTTCTTTTTTATTTTTTTTTTTTTTCTTTATTTTTTTTTTTTAGTTTTTATTTCTTGTTTTTTTTTTTTTTTTGTTTTTTTGGTTATTTTTATTTTTTTTTTTGCTTTCTTTTTTTTTTTTTTTACGTTTTTTTTTTTTTTTTTTTTTTTTTTTTATTTTTTTTTTTTTTTTTTATTTTTTTTTTTTTTTAATTTTTCTTTTATTTTAATTTTCTTTTTTTTCTTTTTTGACTTTTTTTTTTTAATGTCGTTTGATGTTTTTCAATGTCGTTTCAATGTCGTTGTAATGTCTTTAATGTCGTTAATGTCGTTTAGTGTCTCTAATGTCGTTAATGCAGTTAATGTCGTTTAATGTCGTTCAATGTCGTTTCAATGTCGTTGTAATGTCTTTAATGTCTTTAATGTCGTTCAATGCTTTTAATGTCGTTAATGTCGTTCAATGTCTTTCAATGTCGTTTCAATGTCGTTGTAATGTCTCTAGTGTCGTTAATGTCGTTTAATGTCGTTAATGTCGCTAATGTCGTTCAATGTCGTTTCAATGTCGTTGTGATGTCTTTGATGTCGTTTAATGTCTTTAATGTCGTTCAATGTCTTTCAATGTCGTTTCAATGTCGTTGTAATGTTTTCGATGTCGTTAATGTCGTTTAATGTCTTTCAATGTCGTTTCAATGTCGTTGTAATGTCTTTAATGTCGCTAATGTCGTTTAATGTCTGTCAATGTCGTTTCAATGTCGTTGTAATGTCTTTAATGTCTTTAATGTCGTTTGTTGCTTTTCGTGAGTTTCACAGCGTTGCAACAATTGCAAAGTCGGGCCCGCCGCGAATCGCGGGCCGGGCAAGGGCCAGGGGCGCCGCGGGGAAAAGGTCTGGGGTCGGGGGTAGCGGGGCGGCAGGGGGGGCATCGATGACCGTGGCCCAACCCCGTTCGCGCCCTCCCCCCCCCAGCCCACCCCGCCACCTCCTCCCTCCCGCCCACGCACCTCGAGGCCATTGAGATCTCAATGGCCTCGAGGTGGCGCTGTATGGGGGCATGCAATGGGCATCGGGCAGGGGGTTCCCTCGCGTCCTCCCCCCCCCCCCCCTTGGATCTCGATCGATCGATCGATCGATCATCGATCATGGCCCGCGGGTCGATCATGGCCCGCTGGATCATGGCGCGCGCGAATATTCGCGCGCGCCGACTCGGCCAGCCAGCGCGCGCTGCAGCAGGCGCCGCGCGCCTTCTGGAAATTGCACCAACGAGAAAAAGGAGGAGGGGGATGAGGAACAGGAGGATCGACGACGGCGCGGCTGGGCATATGTCCTGACATCGATCCACCGTCGGCCGCGTGGACCATTCCAGGGCAATCGTCGACGGTTCAGTACTGGGGCCCCCTGGTGAAAAACTCATGCCCAGCAAAACACAGATGTCAGGGCATATACCCCACAGGGGACCAACGTACTTCTGGGCATTGCACCAGCACTAATGAAGACCGCAGGCGGTGGCAACTTGGTATATGCAGAAAACATTCAAAGGGGCCCTCTTTCTGGATTGCACTCTTATACGTGCGGTCGGAACTGTGAGGACGGTGAGGGCGCGCGCCTCCGGTTACTTTGATCCTTCTGGACATTGCACCTATAGATAAGTAGGGGTCCTGCCGTGGTTGTTCACCCCAGGGGGTCCTTCTGGCAATTGCACCACTAGACATGAAGATCATTGCATGCGGTCGGCGCGCCTCCCGTTAACACCAATCAGTGTTCCAACTTTCAGATCATGATCTGAATGTGGAACACTGATTGGCGTTTTTTTCATTCGGCGGCCCCTTCCAGGGGCCACGGGGTGAAACCATTCCCTGACGAGGCCATGGCGCCCAAGAAGGAGCCGAAGCAGGGCAAGAAGAACAACGCCAACTCCGAGGAGAAGAAGGAGCTCGCGAGAGCTGCGCGCGCCGCGCGGGCGGCCCACGAGGACAACATGCAGCACTTGAGGATATGTGTGGTATGTGCTGAGAGTGCAGGAGCCTCGTCGCCTCGTAGGAGTCTTATAGGACCCCTCCGAGGCGACGAGCTCCTTCAGCCATCTATAGATGGTGCTCCCGGAGGTCGAGAGACAGAGGGAGAACCACCAGGAGGAGGTGCGGGAGGGACGCCTAGATGAAGAGGAAGAGGAGGGAGGTGGAGGAGGAGGAGAAGGAGAAGGAGGAGGAGGAGGAGGAGAAAGGCTAGGAGGGAAGGCTATATAGGAGGAGGAGGAGGTGGAGGAAAAGGGGGGGGGGGGGAGGGGAAGGGGGATCCCCCTCACTCCTCCACCTCCTCCTCCCTCCCTCTCCTCCTCCTCCTCCTCCCCCTCCAACGCGAAAACTTAGCTCCCAGGAACGCGTTGGCCACCGAGAAGAAGAAGAAGATCAGGGATGAGTTCAAGAGGAAGTCCAGGGCTGGGAAGCGCCAGTTCCCCGCGAACTGGCTCGAGACGGGCGACTTCACGTGGGCGGTGTCCTACAGGACGGAGGCTCGTGAGCAGGCCAACGAGCACCGCGACGCGCGCCCGTTCTTGACGTTCGACGGGCTGCTGGCGCCCTTCAAGTGGTCGCCCGAGAACAAGGATACGGAGTTCAGGAAGAGGTCACATCCTTTCCTCCTCCACCTTTTCCTGCCCCCATCCTCGCTCCATTCCTCTGCAGGGCGTTCGCTCGAGCGCAAGCCGCGCGGCGCCACTGCGAGTCCATGCGGTCGACGCACATGTCGGCGGGGGTGGGGTGGGGTGCGTGTGTGCGTGTGTGTGTGTGTGTGTGTGTGTGTGTGTGTGTGTGTGTGTGTGTGTGTGTGTGTGTGTCTGTGTGTGTGGGTGTTTGGGTGTGTGTGTGTGTGTGTGTGTGTGTGTGTGTTGTGTGTGTGGTGTGGTGTGTGTGTGTGTGTGTGTGTTCTGGTGTGGTGTGTTGGTGTGTGTGTGCCGTGTGTGTGTGGTGTGCCGCGCGGGGGGGGGGGGCTCGAGTTCGCATCGGATCCCCTGTATATCGGTGCGAGGTCACAGCATTCAGGGGCGCAGGAATGTCGACGACGTCGACGCTTCCTGTGTCCCCTGGATGAAGGGCCTCGCACTGTTTGAACAATCCCGCTGCTTGATCCGAGAAAGGTGGACGAGCAGACGGGCGAACCGACCTACAAGCGCGTGGAGAAGAGTGTGATTGACAATGATGTACCCTCTTGGAGCTAGGGAGGGCAGGACTTCAGGATGGAGGATCGGACCCTCGGGATCCATCTCACCGAATCGACTCGCCGAGTCAACGCTCGATCGATCGATGGCGTCGACTCGGCGAGTCCATTCGGGGAGATAGAGGATGGAGGATCGGACCCATCGAGATCCATCTCACCGAATCGACTCGCCGAGTCAGCGCTCGATCGATCGATGGCGTCGACTCGGCGAGTCCATTCGGTGAGATGGGCCCCGACCACGACGGCATATTATACACTACAACCCCCAATGAGGCACGGGGCAAGAGATTGGAGACCCAGTTCAGCACGGAGAGACGCAAGATCGAGGAGGCGTTGGACCAGCAGGGGCTCAATGAGAGCAAGAAGAAGCCTGCGAAGGGCAAGAAGGCAGGGATGTCCTCCTCCTCCTCCTCCTCCTCCTCCTGCTTTCTCCCTCCTGATCCTCCTGCCTCCCCCCTCCTATCTCTCCTCCTCCTCTCCTCCTCCGTCGCTTCCCCCTGATCCCCCCCCTTCTCCTCCCCCCCTTCTTCCCCTCGATCCTCCTCCTCGGTCTCCGTCCTCCTCCTCCTCCTCCTCCTCGATCCCCTCCTCCTCGGATCTTTCTCCTCTTCGATCCTCCCCCTCATCCTCTTCGAGATCACCCCCCCCCCCTCGCTTAGGAGGTCGTGAAGAGCGAGAGCTCCAGCGATGAGTATGGATCCAGCTACTCGGACGATGAGGAGTCCGAGCCACGCTCCTCGAAGAAGGCGCGAACGAGGAGCGAGGATGGGGAGGATAGGGGACTCGAGGAGGGTGGGGTGATGATGGATGCGACGAATGGGGGGATGGGGGGAGGACGGGCGCTAAGAATGGGAGGAGGACAGATGGGAGGATGGCAAGAGGATGGGAGGATAATGGATGGAGCTACGCAGCCAGGCCAACACGAAGTCGACTGGCCACGCGTCGTCCTCGGGCAACAACGAGTGGGGCATGCGCCTCGGGGAGTGCTGCAGGCTCAAGGCCTTGCTCGGCGGCTTGGACGTGACAAGGGGGGCGACTCGATCGCGTCGATGGCGCGAGGATCGAGGCAGGAGTGAGGAGGTGGAAGATCGACGACAGTCGTTGGTCGGAGGCCCCCTTTGCCAAGCGCAGTTGTGGAAGCTTCTCCTCACCCTCCAAAGCTAGCGTTGGAGGGTGAGGAGAAATATGGAGGATGCGATCGGTGGTGACATTGTGGAGGAGATGGAGGAGGCGGCGGAAGCAGAGGCGGAGGCGGATGGGGAAGAAGGGCAGTGAGACCGAGAATAGAGAGAGGGAGGATGGAGGGTGGAGGCCGGATGAAGGGAGATCCAGGATAGGGCTCCCCTCTCCACGCCCTCTCGACGACCGCCAGCGGCGACGGGCTCGCGATTGCCGACGGTGACGGCGACGACAGTCGGGGAGGTGAAGTCGCAGCCGTGGCTGAGCCCGTTCAGCACGCGCGTCAAGAAGTGCTCCGATGACCTGGAGCGCCTGCAGAAGGAGATCGAGGACATGATCCAGGGCAAGGGCACCGCGGACGTCGATGCGAGCAAGACTATCATCGCGGAGGCCAGCTTGCTCGGCCCCGCCATCGCCGATCGAAGGAGGAGGGAATGAGGAAGCTGATCAGAGGCATGATGATCAGGCGAAGGAGGATCAGGAGGAAAGGATGATGAGGATCAGGAAGAGGATCAGGGGGAGGATCAGGAGGAGGATCAGGAGGAGGACCAGGAGGATATAGGTCGGCAGTGGGAGGATCAGGAGGATCAGCCAAGCAGGAATCACGAGGAGGAGGAAGAGGAGTGGCAAGATGAGGGGTGAGTTTAAGCTGCGTGCGGGTGTTTGCCTCGGCCGCGCCGAGGCGACCAAGCTGTGGGAGCTGATCAGCCCCGTCATCGGCACCGTGGATCGCGCGAAGAAGGCGATCCTCGAGGACGAGGATCTTTAGGCTGGTTTCTGAGGCTTTGCGTGCCTCGAGTGCCTCGAGGGTGTCGAGGCTGCTACGTTCAGCGCAGGTGCTGCTGAACGGAACCGCAGCTGGCTCGAAGATGGCGGCATCGATGGCGTGTGTATGGCATGTTGGTTCAGATGCGTTTTCGTGCGCGCCTCGTGTCGAGGCTGCTACTCCCAGCAGGTGCTGCTGCAACGAACCACTGCTGGCTCGAAGATGGTGCCTCATGCCGGGGGCATTGCATGTTGGATCAGATGCGTGAATTGTGCGTGCCACGTGTCGATGCGAGGGATCCCCTAGAGGGCGGGGGAGGGTCGGGGCCACTATCGGAGTCGAGTAGAGGCAAGGGTTCACCGTGGGCAGCGTGCCTGAGATCTCGAGGGTCAGAGTGCATCGAACCAGAAGTGGCACCTCCTTGTCCTCCTCCCTCTTCCTCCTCCCCGGCTCTCCTCCTACCTCTCCCCCCTCCTCCTCGCCCTCGCCCCCCTGCTCATCCCCCCCCCCCCTCCCCCCTCCCAACCTTCCCGCTTGATGGGGCTCTGCCCCCCCCCCCCCCCCCCCCCCCCCTGGGCCTCCGATAGCGTTTCGGCCATGCCGCCTGGCCCCGCTGAGGCTGGTCAAGGAGGAGAGGCGCCGCTCGAAGCTCACCATCTAAGCCGCGCGCGCCCTCTCGCTCCACACGCACACACGCGCGCGCCGCGCGCGCGCACGCGCGCGCGCACGCACGAACGCACGCACACACGCACACACGCACACACATACTCACACTCACACTCACACTCACACTCACACTCACACTCACACTCACACTCACATTCACACACAAACAAACGCACGCACGCACACACACACGCACACACGCACACACACACACACACACACTCTATCCATCTCTGGCCCTGCGCGACCGCGGGCATCTTGCAGGAGCGCGCCGGCGGCGCGCCTTAGGCCCAGCTGCCGCCCCCCCTTTTTTTGATTGCGCAGGAGGAAGAGGAGGAGGACAACCAGAGGGGGAGGAGGAGGAGGGGGGGGAGGAGGAGGAGGAAGAGGAGGAGAGAGGGCACACCACCGACATTGTTCCCATCTCCAGTCGCACGCTGGCACGCCGATCGGCGCAGGCCGCGCTGTAGTTCTGGACGCCCGAAATGGGCGCCGAAGGAATGGGTGCAATGCCCGGCAGCAGTTCCTGTTCATTTTGAACAGGCCTCGCTGTCCACGCCGCCGCGGCCTGTGTCCATTCGAGACAGGAGGCCGCCTGCCCAACAGCGGCCGCTGTTGGTTTGGGAGAACATTTGTTTTTGGGCATCGTACCCATTTTTTCGGTACCCATGTCGGGCGTCGGGTCCAAAGTAGTGGCCCACCGCTCGCTGCCGATTGCCTGGGCTTGGCTGTTCTTGCTCCCCCCCGCCCCCCTCCTTGGATTTTTCGAAGCAGCATCGGCCCCCCGCCAGAGTTCAGGGAACCGCCCTCCGTGATCGGTCGCGGCCGAATCGAGCACGTATGATCCCCTCCCCATTTCCCACCCCCACCCTTTGCCCACGGCATGTGACGCGCCTGTGGAGACGCGGTGCGCCGCTCATTTCCGCCACGCGCATTGAACACAGAGGCGGGTAGAGGCGGGTGGGTGCGTGGCTGAAGTGAACATTTGCGGTGATGAATATGTTTGTTGCGTTGTTGATGTTGATGTTGTTGTTGTTGTTGTTGTTGCTGTTTGCTGTCGTAGTCGGCCCTCCCCGCGACGCACCTGCGACCCGCCCCGCGGCCCATCCGCGACCACTCGCGACACGCCCGCGGCCCGCTAGCGACCCGCCCGCGACTCGCCCGCGACCCACCCCGCGATTGAGACGTTGGCGCCTGCGGCGGGCTTTTCGAATCTCGCGGACTGCCGACGCCCCCACCGCCCCCTCACGCATGTCCGCATCTGCGGGGCTGCATCGCATGCTCGAGGAATGGCGCGCACTTCGATGAGAAACTTGTTCCTCATCCCTCCCTCAACTTTTCGTTTAATTGCTTGCGCGTCGAGCTGGCCGCTGCGAACGCAGATGGGCCGCTCGCGCCGCGAGTGCGGCTCATCTCGCCTATCCCCCCCCGCCCTCCCTCTCACGTTCGATCGGTGTCCGCCTTAAGGCAGAGATCATCGTGGGGCTGCTGGGGCGCGCGCGAACGCGTGGCAGAGCCGCGAACTCGTGGAGGAAATGGCATTGCGTTCCCCATCGAGCAGGGCGCGCGCTGCGCTGTGCGTGTCCGCGGTGGGGACGCAGGCACGATCGATCAATGGCGCGCCCATCCATCCCTCGTCCTCCTCGACCCCCTTCCTCCTCCTCCTCGGGGCTTCGTTGGTCCAGGCCAAAGGGGCGCGTTGCAACAGCGCTGCCCGCGGGCGTGTGGCTACACGCTCGGGGGCCGTGCTGGGTTGAGACCCAAACTTGCACGAGAAAATGCACCCGCGGGCGCGTCG